TACTGTATGATTATACTTTAATAATGGTGCCAATCAATGTGTCTAAATAACATGTCAATCTCAGTCCTTTTTCCTTCACTAACAGCACAATCCACAAGAATTCTAGGGTTATTGGTGTGCTCTATCAAAGAGCCAAGGCGAACTCAGTGACACTTCTTTTCTCAAATAGAGCCACGGTCTACCCGACCGGGAACTCCTTAATGAACGTATTACAGAGTACACACGTACAAGGACCGCCAGGTTAGCTAAAAACAACAGCACCCTGGCACCCCCAGCCGAACAGTACCACGCAGTGAAGAGAGCAGAGAGAGAGAGAGACACGAGAGACCGACCAGAGAGATCACAGGAGAACACGAAGAGAAGCGCACAGGGGACCCACGCACAGAGAAGAAACAGAAGAAGAGAAGAGAGGAAGACAGAGAGGTACAAGGACAGAGAGAAGAAAGGAGAGAAGAACAGAGAAGAAGAGGAGGAGAGACAGCGAGACAGAGAGAGATGACCGAGGACAGAGAGAGATGACAGAAGAGAAGAGACAGGAGAGAGAAAGAGAGAGACCATGAAGTAAGAACAGAAGAGACTAAGATTAAGAGAGGAGGAGAGAGAGAACAGGAAAGAATGAAAGAAAGAAAGATGCAAAGAACGAAAAAGAGAAAGGAAGGAAGAACGCAGGAGCGACGAAGGAGAGACACGAAAGGAGACGAGAAAGAACCAACGGCTAAAAAGAAGAACGAGACAGAAGGGAAATGTAGACACCCCCACCCGCAACAGCAGGCAGGTAACCTACCAACACCAAAACAACCCGCAGCGCCGCCGCTACAAGGACCCCAGAAACTAAAACAACACACCCCACCGCTACAAGGACCCCAGTACTAAAACAAAACACCCCCACCGCTACAAGGGAACCACCAGGTAATAAACAAACACACCCCCCAACCGCCTACAAACCCCAGGTAACTAAAACAAACACACCCCCACCGCTACAAGGACCCCAGTAACTAAAACGAAACACACCCCCACCGCTACAAGACCCAGGAACTAAAGCAACCACACACCCCCGACCGCCTACAAGGACCCCAGGTAGACTTAAAACAAAACACCCCCACCGTACATAGACCCCAGGTAACTAAAACAACACACCCCCACCGCTACATAGGACCAGGAACTAAACAAACACACCCCCACCCTAACAAGGACCCCAGTAACTAAAACAAACACACCCCCACCGCTACAAGGACCCCCAGGTAACTAAAACAAACACACCCCACCCGCTACCAAGGCCCCACGTACTAAAACCACACACACCCACCGCTACACAGCCGCACCCAGGAGACTAAAACAAACACCACGCCCACCCGTACAAAGGACCCAGGTAACTAAAACAAACACACCTGTCCTAGGCCTGGGCGATTGTCTTGACTAGTGACGTGTGTCCTCCGCACGCCCCATCTCACGCTGACCTCACCGTCAGCTCTCCGCCTCGCCGTGCCAACGGAGGAGCTGTGATGAACGTCTGGTTCTCGGACAACGACCAGCGTCCGTGGGAACCGTGAACACTTGCCGAGCTCGACACCGGCCGACACCGGCGCCCGGCCACGCGCAGCCAATCAGCCAGAGACGCCTCGTTGAGCCCACTAGGGAGGACAGGAGGAAGGAGGCACACCCGCCCCCGCAGGGTAGCACACAGCACTCCACCACACCTGTTCCACAGGAAGGCCCACAGGAAGAGCGAACAGGAGAGAACCAGAGATCCTCGCCCTCTCCTCTGCCGCAGAGGGTCAGACCCCGGTGCAGACCCCGGCCTCCCCAGGCCGCCCTCAGGGAGAGCGCCTGGCTGAGCTGCAGAAGGAAAGGAGGGAGGCTCATAAAGAGGAGGCCTTCTCCGTCAATCACGCACAGCGACCCTCTGGACCCCACCCACGAGGAAGGTTTGTTGTTGTTGTTTATTAATGAAAAGGAAGGTAAACATGTTGTTTCTATTAATGGATAAAGGAAAGGTAAACATTTGTTTGTGTTGTTCATCAGGTAAGTCAGATGTGTTGTCATGGCATCACTTCCTTGCCAGCAGGAGAGACAGACAGGCTCCACTTCAGCCTTCCACTGTCCCGTGAACACACAGTGATACACTGGGACTCACCTGGTAAGGTAAGAGTCAGTAAGGCAGCGTGGGAGGAACCTTGTTGTTATTTTTTTCTAAAGATGGAAACCGTTTCCGTGCAGGTGTTTTACAGCGACGACAAACCCCCGGGGACCACCTGTCCAGGTGAGCCAGATGAGGAACGCGACCTCAACCGTCATGACTGGACGTTCAGAGTGGACCTGAGGACCAGGTGTAACTCGTACAGCTTGATGCCGCTCTCCGGTGGCGACCCGAGAAGGGGACGCAGGCAGGAACGAGGGGTTTCGGACTCTGCCAAATAGAGGAGGTTCCTGCCAACCCCGGCACATATCCCAAATCCCCTTCAGGGGGAAGAGCCTGGGCCCAGATGAACGGAGGAACCAAGGAGAAGTGCTGAACAAACTGGTCCAACAGTTCAGACGGGAGAGATTCATCTGCGACCTGGCTTCGACAGCGAGTCTCTGGCCAGGTGGACACACTCACCCCTGTACATATATATATATTATATAATATATATGTATATATACATAAAGGTATAGCTCACCTGTACGTTATAATACCATATATATAAATATAAAGATATATCATATTAATATTAATAATAAATGTATAAATACATCGCTGTCAGGTATGGTAGGAGGAGCAAAAGCCAAAAAGGGGCCGTGGTGGGAAGAGGGAGGTGGAGTCAGACACTGCGTCCTGCCCCTTATTGACTGTGTAAGAAGATGACTCTGCGTACGTCAGGAGGTAGGAGGAGGGGAGGCCGCGGGCTTCAGAGGCGTCCAGGTGTCCAGGGAGATGACGGGCAGTTTTCGTAGGTGAGTCGATCTTTGTTGGTTCCTAAATATCAAACCCGTGTTTCTCTTCAGGTGGTCAAAAGTCAGTCACAGCACTCAGACTGTCCGATGGTCGTCCCCGTGTTTCGTCAGCCAGAAGCCCTCCCACCAGCGCCCCTGAGTTCCAATCAGGAATGCAGCAGAGAGGACTCCTGATGTGCTAACATGGCGGATCCCTGCCACACGTCATACTCAAAAATCATGCACGCCTCTTGAGCCTCAGCACCCTCTGTGCTGACCTGCTCTGCTCCCCCTCTGGCCCGCCTCCACGGCAACACCTCACCAAGACGCTGCAGAAGAAGAGACGTCCGCTGGACCTGCAGGGGTTAAAGGCAACCAACAAACAACTTCCTGTGAGGTTCTACCGGACCCAGCAGCAACCGCTCCTCTAAACCCCCCAAAGCTTCCTGTGGCGCCGGGGACGCCCCCTCCAGCCCGCCCGCCGCCCTGCGTCCGCGTCCAACCTGCTTTCGAAGTCTGAGTCCAGACCTGAACACAGAACAGACGCTGGGGGGAGGGGCCCCAGCAGAGTCCTCCAGGGTCAAAGGTCCAGAGGCATCAGACGCCACCTCTTCACCGAACAGTTTCCCTCCTGAACAACACTCAGAGAGTCCAATCAGGGGGGCGGGCAGGACAACTCAAGCCCCCCCCCCATACACCTAACGCGGGGTCCGGGGAGGGGAGAGTAGGCGGAAAGGACACCTGGCCCTCCTCATCCTCCACCAGGAGGACCAGGGCTCAGCGCCAACGCCCACCAGCCCAAGGAGAGAAGCCTGCGTCGGGCGGACCCGCAGGAAAGTCCCGGCTCCACCAGGCTCGCCTCAGCCCTGCCCTCACCCCGCCGGGGGAGGACACGGAGAGGGCGGCTCGCGACAGGAGTCGAAGGTTAAGAGGATACCCCGTCAGGTAAGCAGCCTCATTTATAAATTCTTCAGAAATAAAAGTGTGCCTTCACATTGTCAGGAGAAGAAGTCAGGACGTTCAAATTGATCGTTCTTTTCTCTCTTCCTCTCTCTTGCTCTCTTCCTGTCTGTCTCTCTGTCTCTCTCTCTCTGTCTCTCTCTCTCTCTCTCTCTCCTCTCTCTCTCCTCCGATCTCTCTCCTCTCTCGTCTCTCTCTCTACTCTGTCTCATGTCTCTCTGTCTCCTCTCTCATCTCCTGTCTCTCCTAATCTCTCTGGTCTCTCCTCTCTGTTCGTTCTGTCTCTCTCCTCTGTCCTATGTCTCTCTGCCTCTCTCTCTCTGTCTCTCCGTCTCTCGTTCTGTCTTTGTCTCTCCTCTCTCTTCTGTCTCTCTCTCTCGGCTGTCTCTCTCTCTGTCTCTGTCTCTCTCTGTCTCATCTCCCTCTCGTCTCTCTCATGGTGGACGTGTTGGGTTCTGTAAGATGTTATAAGGAGTTCGGTCTAGACATGCTCTATTGTGAAAGTGTCCTGAGATAAATTCTGTTATGAATTGGCTAGACAAATAAAAACTGGATTGAATTATTGAACATTGATCACATTATTAATATATCAATAATAGATGAGGTGGGGTTTCAGTGTCGTTTAATGTAAACGAGGGCTGCTGGTACTTTATATGGAATCTGTTGATGTCAAATATTAGAATAAAATGTTATTTTACATTTTGTGTGAAACAGCAAAACTTTTTTATTTCGCCTTCATGATTCTTAGTTTGTTTTCAGACATTGTCATTTTGTTTTTATTTACAAACATCATTCAAATAAAAGCAATCATTAAAATATTTATTTTGTGCTGCAGCATAAATAAATTAATTGTTTTTTAAACTTTTGATTTTTTAATACATAAAGAAAATAAACATTTGTTTTTAAATGTTATAAATCATGAGAATTAAATTTAAACATGCACACGAATGAAAGTGAAATAATGTTATTATAATGTTGGCAGCTGTATGTTTCCATAACACACCTGTCTGCCAGGTGAAGCAGCCTCTGGTACCTTTTGTTCAGGTGCTGTTTGTTGTCAATATCTTTTTATATCTTTACACTTTGTTTATCTAATTATGGATGAGTTCATGTTGAATAAACAACTTTTATAACCTGATCTTCAGCGTGTCACTGTTTGTTCTCACAGCATCCACCAGGTGGTGTATCGAGTCCCCCACCTGGTCTGCAGCCTCCAGAAGCTCCGCCCTCTTCCTCTCACCTGAAACTAAATTAAAAGCATTGTACGGAGGCAGTTTGGTGTCAGAATTTATTTTTGGAGTCGTGTGGACTTCAGGTTTAAACGTGAGAAGTGTATGTGTATTCATGTAACCATAGTAACCGTCATGTA